CAATCCAAAAAAAATTATATTTAAAAATTCCATATAATTGTAAGGGAAATACTAATTACGAAGTTTTGATCTTCTAAAAACCCATGTTGTATAGTTTTTACTCACAAAAGCTGCAATTTTGTATAATCTTTAAAAAGTTTTCAATTAAGATGGGTTTTTGGATTAAAATGATTTTGTCATGGAACCAGAGGCGCTCTGGTTGGTCATGACTCTTTGGATGGGGAACCAGAGGTCTCTGGTTGAGAGTGATGAACAAGTTCATCGATGGAATGTTGGGTTGTATGAGAAATGAGCCTTGGATAGACAAACCAGAGGCTCTGATTAAGCATGGACAACCCAGTATGTAGGACCAGAGGGGATCTGGTTGAATACATATGATTTATTCATCATTTATATAGCATTTTTGGTGTGCAGAGGCTCTAGATAGTAGAACCAGAGGCTCTGGGATGAAAAATACATATTATTGCAATGAAACTTCTTTATGATGAAATAAAAACTCCCCCTCAAATGATGCACGTGGATGAGATTTGAGATTGAAACTCCCCCTAGAAACAATAAGGAGATTGATTTTGATGCCCAGAGGCTCTGGTCTATACAACCAGAGGCTCTGGTTGTGAATAATGATGAAAATTTATATGAAATGTGGCTAAGTATGTGAATGGATATGAAAATGAATGGGTCTTTGAGACCAGAGGGCTCTGGTTCCAAAGACAACAAATCCAGAGGCTCTGGTTGCGAAGGTGATCCAAAGAAATATGAAATTTTGGTTAAGTGCATGTAAGTATATGTGAAATAGATGGGCCTTTGAGACCAGAGGGCTCTGGTTCCAAAGACTTTGAATCCAGAGGCTCTAGTCTTTAGAACCAGAGGCTCTGGTTGAGAAAAGAGTACATAGTGAAAAAGTTCACAAAGTATTTGGCTTTGGACCAGAGGTATCTGGTTCCAAAGGGTGATGGAATATGACTTGGTTGCATGCAAGAATGACTAAGGAAGTCCAAATTTGAGACCAAAGAGGCTCTGGTCTCAAAGAATTGTCATCCAGAGGCTCTGGTCTATACAACTAGAGGCTCTGGTTTGGAAGGGTATGAAAAACTTTTGGCCAAAATTTAAGCAAGTGTTTCTAAAAGGCCAGAGGCTCTGGTCTATACAACCAGAGGCTCTGGTTTGGAGTACTTGGTGTTTATGGCCATAATTATTTTTATCACTTATAGGCATAACCATGAGATATTGAGGATCTCTGCTTTCAAACTAATGATTGCCTCTAAGTGGTGAGATTCAGCATACCCATCTTGCTGACTAGGAATAAAAATATTTTCTCATCTAGAGCTTTTGTGAAAATGTCAGCAAGTTGAATCTCAGTGGGAACAAAGTACATCTCTATATTACCTTTTTCAACATTGTCTTTCAGAAAGTGGTACCTTACATCGATGTGCTTGGTCTTGGAATGCTGCACAAGATTTGCAGAGATGGCTATTGCACTATTGGAGTCACAGAGGATTGGTTTGAAAGCCATAGTTCTTAAGCTGAGTCTTCGTCTAGAGAACCTGTGAACAACAACTAGCAGCAGCAACATATTTTGCTTCTGCTGTAGAGGTTGAAACACAATTCTATTTTCTAGATGTCCAACTTACCAGCTTGTCCCCCAAGAGTTGACAGCTTGCAGATGTACTCTTTCTATCAAGCTTGCAACCTGCATGATCTACATCTGTATAGGCTATTAGATCAAAGCCAGAGTTCTTAGGATACCAGAGACCTAATGAAGGAGTTCCCTTAAGGTATCTAAAGATCCTCTTGACTGTAGAGAGATGAGATTCTTTAGGATTGGATTGATACCTAGCACAAAGACATGTAGCAAACATAATATCTGGTCTACTAGCAGTCAAATACTGAAGTGATCCAATCATGGCTCTGTAGATTGTTACATCCACAGATTTGCCTGATGGATCAACAAATAACTTAGCTCCGGTAGCCATAGGTGTTCTCATCGATGATGAATTTGAGAGAGAGTATTTCATCCGAAGGTCAGTCACATACTTGGACGGATTGATAAAGATCCCTTCTGAAGTTTGTTTTATTTGAAGGCCAAGGAAGAAACTGAGTTCTCCCATCATACTCATCTCAAATTTGCTTTTTATCAGCTCTAAGAATTTTTCGCAATGTGTCACATTTGTAGAACCAAATATGATGTCGTCCACATATATTTGTTCAAGTAGTATGTCACCTTTATGCTTCTTGAGAAAGACGGTTGTATCGATTGTATCTTTTTCGAATCCATTGTTGATGAGAAAGGTGGATAGAGTTTCATACCAGGCCCTGGGTGCTTACTTCAGCCCATAGTGGGCTTTGTCCAAAAAGTAGACATACTCTGGATGTTTTGGATCTTCAAACCCAGGGGGTTGCTGCACATATACTTCTTCTTGAAGTTTGCCATTTAGGAAGGAGACTTGACATCCATCTGATAGACCTTAAAGCCTTTGTGAGCTGCTAGGCTAAGAATATCCTGATGGCTTCAAGTCTTGCGACGAGAGCAAATGTTTCATCGTAGTCAATCCTTTCTTTCTGGCAGTAGCCCTTGGCAACAAGCCTGGCCTTGTTCCTTATGACTATGCCATCTTCGTCCTTCTTATTTCTGAAGACCCATTTGGTTCATATGGTCGTCTTCCTGTTAGGTAGAGGCATAAGGGACCATACCTTGTTTTTCTTAAACTAAAGCAGTTCTTCTTGCATCGCGTCTATCCAGTTTGGGTCTTGTAGGGCTTCAAAAATTTTCTTTGGTTCTATCATGCTAAGAAAGCTGGCGAAGATGCATTCATTGGCTGTTGCTGATCTCGTCTTGACACCAAAAGTTGGATCACCAATGATTTGGTGATGTGGGTGGTCTTTTGTCCACTTGGTGCTTGATTGGGGTTCTGGAGCAACAGGATGCAGTTCTTCATCGACCGATGGAACTCCTTGCTCCCCCTCGAAGAGATCATCTTCAGAGTGAGACTCTGGTTCTTGTTCTTGATCTAAAGACACAGAAGAAGTAGAAGGTGAAGTAACATGAGTTTCAGTAAGAGTTGTACCTTTAGCATTGGAGACTTCATGTTCTTCAAAGGTTCTGGAAGTGGATTTTGCAGTAGGTGCATGTCCAGAGATTACTTCCTCTTCGAAGATGTCTTCAAATAATTGAGCTAACTTTGATTCATTGGGTTTGCCAAGTGATGAATCAGATGCTCTATGTTGAAGTCCGAGTCCTGAACTGTTGTGTCCATAAGTCATTGGAGTGGAGTCATCAAAGGACACATTGATGCTTTCTATAACAATCTCTGTCCTTTTGATGTAGACTCTGTAGGTCTTTGTGGTTTGAGAATATCCCAGAAAAATCCCTTCATTAGCTTTCTTGTCGAACTTGCCAAGATATTCCCTATCATTGAGTACAAAGCATTTGCACCCAAAGACATGGAAATACTTGACATTTGGTCTTCTCTGATTGATGAGCTCATAGTGTGTCTTCTGATGCATCTTGTTGATGATGGACCAATTCTGGGTGAAGCATTCAATAGAAATAGCTTCAGCCTAGAAGGTGATGGGTAACTCCGATGAAGCAAGCATGGTACTTGCTGCATCCACAAGGGTTCTGTTCCTTCGCTCCACCACTCCATTCTGTTGTGGAGTTCTGGCTGCTGAAAAGTTTTGTGAGATGCCTTCATTGATGAGGTATTCATCGATTCTGGCATTTTTGAATTCAGTTCCATTATCGCTTCTGACTTTAATGAGTTTTCGTTGGAGAAGGACTTGGAGTCTTTTCATCACCCCAATGAGTTGGTCAGGAACATCTGATTTTTTCTTCACAAACTCAACCCAAGTGTATCTCGATTATTCATCAACTAGTACCAATACTACATTCACCAATTAACAGATCATTGAACAAACCAAAATCCAATCACCAAAACAATACCAAATCGAGAGACAATGTAGTTGTACACCCGAACCACGAATATTACTTCTGAAGTGGAGGGATTTTTAATGTTTTTGTAGCCGATCCTTTTTCTTAAATTACGAAAAAGGAAGAAAAACATAAGAAGTTCTTGATACTCCAACAGAAGTTAAAAGGAAAGCAGGTTCTTACTTGAATTAAAAACAAAGTCTAATTGAAGGCAGAGGTTAAAAAGAACCTTTGTTTTACATTAACTATTCAGAAAGTACAATACGATTGAAACGAAAGTACAATGCTTGAAAGCTGAAAAAAATGCTAAGACAAGAAGGTTTAGATGTTTTCAAGCCTGAAGAACCTCCTAACAAGTTCTCGAAACTCCAACAGATTACGGATTGACCTTAGAATAATTCTGGTTCCTTCTCTTGCTCCAAGGGTGGTATCTATGCTTCATGTAAGATGACGTCTATGATAATTGACATAGAAGACGACCTTTATACATAATAGACTTACCTCTTAAGTAAGAGCCCTGTCTCTCCTCGTGCTACGCAGATTATCTGCATGTACCACGCAGCACACCTGAAGTTGCTTCCAGACTCAATGTAGACCTGTATAGAGCCTCTACATATGTAAGTTTCCTACAGATTTGCGACACTGCATACAAGGCTTCTAATATTCAAAGGAGGCTGAAGAACAACCCTGCATACTTCAGAGCTCTGTATAGCGAGTCTGAGTATCTGGATGTACTGTACAGAGGCCGTGTAATAAATCAACGAAGGCCTACAAGGATTCAGAGTAAAGCCCATCTGATCATGTACATCCTGTTACTTATCTGCCCAGAACCTCTTCATCCAAAAATAGTTAAATACTTACAAGCAGATATAATTTTCATGAACATGAAAATCAAAGATTACAAAATTCTGTAATGCAAATGAGTTTAATATCAAATCCAACACAAATAATAACGAAAACATGTATCATAACATAAACACCAATGCAAAAATCATTGTCCAAACTAAAATTCAACCACCAACACAATACCAAATACGAGTTTCAATGTAATTGTTCATCAAAAGCAAGAATATTACTTTTCAACTTTAGGGATCTTTAATGTTTTTATAGCCAATCCTTTTCCTTCCTGATCGGCATCAGACCAACTTTCAAAAAGCCGCTTCCTATCAACTCCTTTCATAAGCCTTCTGTCACACAACTTCTCTTCTGATTCTGGATTGTTTGTAGTGCTTTTATCAACATTGGATGGTGTTGCATTCTCACCAGTAAATGAAACAACATCTTTCAAATAAAACAATAATTAGTTATGGCATTTGAAGAATTAGTTGCTTGTAGTTCACTTTACAAATGACATTGAAGATGTCATTTATAGTACCTTTAACTTATCTTGAGAACTAAAATCTGTTGAATGCAGATTTACTGATTCTGATTCACCAGGCTGCAGAGTAAATTTTAAAATAATGTTAGAGTAACAAAGATTTTAGATTAAATTGGATCATATTTTCTGCAAATGATAATCAGCACCTGTTGAGAAGCGCATCTCATCTCCAATTCGTTCAAAATGACATCATCATCTGTTAGCTTTGAAATGCCATAAATGAAACAACTATTTTTAATATTGTAATCAGTTATGTCAATCTTTATTGCAAACCTCCAATCAAGCAAAACATCCAAGTCATCCGGAAACATATCTAAATCACCACTCTAACAAAAAAAATAAACAACTTTTACATTAACAGGTATTTGGAGTCCAAAAAAATAACTTATGAAAAAAGATAAGATCTCTAACCTTACCTCTTTAACTTTTTCATACAACTCTACTGCCTATATGTCAATGATACAATTCCAGTATCATCTTGAACTCTCAAAGAAATTCTGAACCTATATGATTATTAAGCGAGCATTAATGTGAGTGTTCAAAAGTTAGTGAACAACACTATTATGTAATTGCTACTTACTTTGGCAACACCTCTGTATTTTTACTTCTGCATCTGTCAGTCGTACAATCAAAACTTTCACTCACTTCTTTCATACAAGATCCATCATCTTTGTCAGTTATAGTGTACATGGGTCGAACCTTGCGGTTACACCTCGTGCAACCCATGTAAAACCAAGGGACATCCTTCCTAAATGCTTTCACCGTTCCTAATAAAATTAGTGATTTCGCCTATATAAAGTACTCTATGTTACACTAAAATGCAATTATTAAATGTAAAGACACAATTTAAAAAAATCAGTACCTCAACAGTCTCACTGATTTAAACAATGCTTGCTCTACTGGTTCAGTCTAAAAAATCTTCATGACATGAATAAGACAATCCAGAGAGCATTGAAATCTGTTGTGACGATTTAGATTCGCCACTTTCCCGAATCAAACTATTGAATAGGAGTATTAGTACACAACAATGTATATTAGGGAAATATAAGATATATAACAAAAATAAATAATAAATAAAAATTGCTGACCTTTTATTAAAATCCTTTATTTCATCAATGTCCGAGTTGATGAACAACCTCGTACCATTGAATGAGTTAGAAAGAAATGGTCTTTCTAAAACAATCAAATGAAGCAAGTTAACACAACATTGCTTGAAAGAACTATATATGTTATGAATCAGACAAACCTCTGTAAATTTTGGCCATTGCAAACTGAATAACAAGAATAACAATCCCCTTATCCTTGTTAGTAGAAACATAATCATTCAATTCCTGAGCGAACGCATCCCACAATGTCACTTGCATTTTAATCCCCCTAAATAAATTGTATGAAAAAGAATTATATAGTTTCTGAAGATCACTACTAGTGAATAAAGTAAAACACTTACTCCAAATCGTGCATCTCAACCTGCATCCGTGTTTTGGCTTTTCCATTATTTTCTGGAAGAGTCACCATTGTCTCACAAGCAATAACTTCACCAATTACATCTATGTAATCATCGAAGAGTTAACATAACAACATCTAACTTCAATGACACTACAGTATTTAATTTATTTAAACAATACAATCAATGTAAAAGGATTTAATTCACTCACCAACTGCTGTATGTGTTGGGATACTTTTGGATATATGTTTTGCAAATTTCACAAATGAGAAACCAAAAATGGAACCCTTAAAATCCCGGCAATTCGACACAGAAGTCTTGTAATACAAACTTAACTTGTTTGTATTATCAATTAACTTGTACTTCGTTGCATGTCGAGCAATTGTAGGATTCTTAATGAAAATTGCAACTCCTTCCTGAAGTAAGTTCCTGAACTTAGGAACCCATTTTTGTAGGACATTAGCTTGTATTTTAGTGCCCTAATAATATAAATTTGAAAAATCAATGAGTAGTGATGATGTGAAGATCTTAGACAGTTTAGAAAATTATTCAATATCATGCTGACAATACTAAAGCTTGAAAAAGATATAAGAATTTACTTGTTCAACCATTAATATCATTTCAATTGAATATATTTCATCTGGGTTTTTAAACACTGGTTGCTTCCACAGTCTAACAATTCGGACCTTGACAGTGAAATCATCCTTCTGTATGTCAAGATCTTCAAGGAATGTAATATTGTTAGTAGCCATTAATCTGTAGAAGAAAAAACATGTATTAATTAATGAAAATTTTGAAGTAGTTTAATCAAAAGAAGTTATCATACCTCACAGAAGAAAAACAATTGGTTTTGATTGTTCTGGTTTGAAGTTGAGAAAAGTTGCCAATTTGAGTAGTGAGGAGTACGGAAATTGAATCACAATTTAAACCCACATCCCACGATTAAAAATCCCCGATTTTATGGAAATTATAACCGACAATAACTGAAATTTTAAGTTTATGAATTTATGAAAATTCTGAAGTTGTGTATTCTGTTTACGTCCAAGTATGAACGTGGTGTACCAGATTTACGGCTTCAGTTACAAATTCAAACGTGCCGAAGTAACTATGTACATTTCAGTCACGAACATTTTAATATGGACTTTAACAATTTTAGTGACTTTCTTAAGGACTAATTTTCAAATATTGACTTTCACATGATGAAGGGTAGTTTACAAGATTTATACAGATATTGGAGTCTGATCTGAAGAAAAAGTTTTCCCCCAACCCAGACTTTGTAATAAAGATTGAAAATATGGAACAATTATTTGAATGTCCAAATCTGTAGGTTGAGGAAGTCTTCCCACACCGTTTGTTGTGACTACAAATTTCTAAATTTGAGGTTGGTTCCAGATGTAAGATGGTGGTTATAAGTGCGGAAGCACAAAACTGACTCTGTACATTCCAGACTTGAACATTTTGATATGGAGTTTAACAACTTCATGGCTTTCCTAAGGGTTAATTACCAAATATTGATTGTCACATAACAAAAGATAGTGTATAAGGTCTATACAGATATGGAAGTATCGGTTGGGGGAAAATTTGTTATCCTACCGGGTCTTCGTAGATCAGATGTACTAAGTCTGAATATGCAAGGATCGGAGTTCCAGGTCTGGGCACATTCAGGCCTATTATTCTGAAATGAAATTTAGAGTTAGTCAGCAACTCTTGGCGTTCAAGACTTACAACACATTCCTCCTCTAAAATGCAGGTAAGACGGATGTCAACCACGTGTTCGTATATGATACGACCAACCATTAACTTACATCGTAATGGTAATTAAACATTTTTTAAAGTACGGCGGTTTAAAATTGTCATGCTTAATGAGTCCAAAAAGTACTCTACACTTCCACGTGTCACTGTATAAACAAACTTTCGAGTTCTTTATTCAAATTTAAAACCAAATATATACTCCTTATATGAAGAAGGGCAGCCTCAACGTAGCACATCAAAACACAGAGCTCTTTCTCAACACTTAAGTGAAGAGCCTCTGTGTTGCTCATGCAAATAAGTTTAATATTAAATCCAAAACAAATAATAATGAAAGCGTATAGCATACTACATTCACCAATTAACAGATCATTGTACAAACCAAAATCCAATCACAAAAAYAATACCAAATACGAGAGACAATGTAGTTGTACACCAGAACCACGAATATTACTTCTGAAGTCGAGGGATTTTTAACGTTTTTGTAGCCGATCCTTTTTCTTAAATTAGGAAAAAGGAAGAAAAACATAAGAAGTTCTCGATACTCCAACAGAAGTTAAAAAGAAGGCAGGTTCTTACGTGAATTAAAAACATAAGTCTAATTGAAGGCAGAGGTTAAAAATAACCTCTGTTTTACATTAACTTTTAAGAGAGTACAATACGAGTGAAACGAAAGTACAATGCTTGAAAATTAAAAAAATGCTAAGACAAGAAGGTCTAGGTGTTTTCAAGCCTGATGAACCTTCTAAGAAGTTCTCGAAACTCCAACAGATTACGGATTGATCTTAGAATATGTTGGGTTTGAGTTAGAGCGTTAAAGTTGTATTCAAGTTTCTCCTTAGTGTAGTTTTATATTGTAATAGTGTAGCCTTTACATTTCCTTGTATAAATAGTATTTTCCTTGTAATTGTCATTATGAAGTGATTAGCAAATTGTAATCAAGTTTTTCAGCTGTAATTCTCTCTCTCTCAATCTAATCATTCTTTGAAGATATTCTTTCTA